CCAGGCCACGGCAGGTGGGGCGGTGGCTCACCAGCATCACTGGCCACGGTGGCAGCGCTGAGTCCCGGGTGGACATCTGGCCCCAGGCTCTGGTCCACCAGCTCATCCAGGCTGTCCTCATCCATCGCTGGACATGGGAGTTCAGCCTGCAGGAGAGAGTGAAGTCATTCCCAGCTGGGCCAGGCTGCAGAGAATGGCAGCCACTCTAGCCGTCGCACCCCTGGTGACACGCGTCCATCTGCAGGACAGGAGGCCGAGCTGAGAGCATGCGCACAGCAGCCCAGCCACAACGCTGTGGGTACAGGGAAAGACAGATTCTTAGCTACGGAGCTACATGCAGTCCGATCTCCACCTGCAACAAGCCCAAGTCAGCCTCAGCTGCAGGTCTGTATTGAGATGAAAGGGCTTGTCAGGAGCTGAGGCAAAGCAGGGCTTTCGACAGGGCCTCCCCCGAAAGGCCTAGGTGGCAAGCAGGTCACTCCCCGGGCAGATCCGCTCAGCCAAGGCTGCCCTCGGCCTCTGCTCCGGACCCCATGGGAACCGTGAGCTTTAGCTCACCCAGAGCAGCTCTGGAGCAGCCCGGGGCCACGGGGAGCAGAGGTCACGTGAGGCCCTGCCCTCCGCCACCATGGCCACCCCCTCGGGCTCCTCATCTCCAAGTGGGGACACCTGTGGGATCTCTGCACGGACAACAGAGACCAAGACAGCGGCCTCTAAGTGCAGCAAGACACGCTCACCCCCCCACACCAGAGCCTCCAACGCTGGTCCCCAAATAAGGGTTCCTTCTCATCAGGTGACCCTCAGAGGACCCCACTCAGCGCACTTCCTGCCGAGCAGCCTCCTGCCTTCTCCAGGGACAGAAGCACCAAGCAGGAAGGGGGCAGCCCCCAGGAGCCAAAGGCCCTCATGCTCGACCCCAGTGCAGGCGGCGGGGTGGGGCTACCACCACACAGATGGTCCCAGGGAACAAGCCCCCTATGGGGCCTGGGCCAATTCCCACCCAGCAGCCGGCTTCCCACACCCGGCTCCAGACCCGGGACAACAGTGAGGCGCTTAATGTGGGGAAACTGTCAACCGCCACAGGCTGCTGTACCTGGAAACAGTAACCTCAGAGGGTTAGTGAACGGTTCGCCCCGTAAGCCGGCGGCCCCGAGTTAAACCCGGCCCCACCGAGGGAGGGTCTGCACCCCGAGCGCTTGGTGCCCGGGCAGTGCAGCAGGACCCTGCCCGTCCTGCGCCCACAGACCAAAAGGTGACAGGGCCACGCCCACCCAGGAGCACGGCACCTGTCCACAGGTGCCAGGGCTGCGCTCAGGGCAGGGGTGCAGCACTGCAGATCCTCACCCTGAGGCCAGGCTCCGCAGCCCCATCGGCGAAGCATAGGGATAGCACCTGGCTTCTCCCCTGGGGCGCTGGGACCTAGGCCCGCCTGGCAGGGCCTGCCTCAGAGGACAAGGAGGCCATGATGGATTTGGCACAGGGGGCTTGCCAGCAACGCCAGGGAATGTGTCTGAACTGGAGGAGGGCTGCACCTGTGGGCAAAGTCCCACGGGCCTAGCTGTCCCTCCAAAGGCCTCCGCACACCCCTGCACCCGGGCGGGGAGCCCCGGGCCGGAGGCTGCACCCCTGCCTGCATCATCACGCAAGGGTACATGCTGGCTGCACCCCGAGAAAGGACCTGGGTAGCCTCCAAAGGTACTTTCCGGAGCCAGCACCTGCACCTGCACCAAGTACAAGACCAGGCAGGAACCCCAGCAGCAGCCCAGCTCCTACAGGCCTGCGCGGACTCTGCCCTAAGTTCCAGAGGCCACTTCTGCGGGGAAGCCCAGGGCCCCTCGCGGTTCCGGGTGCCTTTCAGGTGCCGGCAGCATCCTGTGGTTCTCCTGCTCAGCCTCCAGTTCTGGGGGCAGGGGGGTGGGGTGGGGGGGGGGAGATATTAAAGCAGGAAGACATTCCCCCCTCTCTTCAAATCCGGGGACCCAACCACCGGCGATTCCGACCACTGCTAGGGAACCGACGGTCTCCGGTGGGTGGTAACCGTGCCCGGCCCGGACTCGTGGGCCCTTCTTATTCACCGGCTGCCATGGCGGCTGGGAGACCGGAAAGTACACTGGCCTGAACCCCAGAAAGCTAAGACGGCCACCGAGGCCACACAGGGGCTCCCCGGTGCAGGGGATGGGCCAGAAGGGTAGGTCCGAGAGAGGGGCGACGTGCGGAACCCCAAGTCAAACCTCACCCGAGCCTCAGGTTCTGCGGGTCCCCGGGCAGGTCACCCTGCGGCCGCGGGACAGACAGGCAGGTGTGAACCCCCGGGAGCGGTGGGCACTGGCGGCTC